CATGGTCTTTGACGTGATCCCGTTCTATGAGGTCAAGTCCATTTGGATTGGCAAAAGCAACGGAGGGAAGCGCCTGGAGTACGTGACATCAAGAGGGCGTACTCGAAGTGTGTGGAGAACGAGATCTGCCCTGGCTTTGTCAACTCTTCCCAAGAGTCGGCTGCGATGTTCCTCCAGAACGTCGCAAAGATCAGCGAGAGGATGCCGGAGACTGAGACAGGTGCCGATAATCTGCACTACATCGTTGACATGGTTAATCGTGCTTGCGAACTCTATCGAAACAACAAGATGGAAGAGTTCAATGCACAGGTCAACGAGGTCCGGGACGAAGTCAGCAAAGTCGTCATCCTGAATGACGAGACATGGGAAGGACTGAGGTGCCGGATATGTCCATCATGTGCGACCGCGATCCCCACCTGCTTCTGCTTATGCCTGGAATGCGAAGCGCAACTGATCTCCATCGGAAGGTACTACATTCACATCAAATCCGATGACGAGGAGGACAACCAAAACCCCAACGTCTCTGGAGATGCCAGGCGTGCACAGGAAGAAGCTAACCACGATGCGGCAGCACAGGAGGATGAGGACGAAGCGGAGGAAGTTCCGGGAGAAGATGACGACATGGACACGCTAGGATATACATCCGGCTATGCGTCAGAAGAAGAAGACGGCGGTTGGCATTACCGCGACACCGATCTGACGTCACGGGACATTATAAGTTCCCAACGGATGGCAATCTGCCTTGACGAGCCGCGTGAGGCTCAGTACATGGCAGGATTTATCGCACTCCAGCTGTCCAAGATGTGGGGGATGTTTGAAGGTGGTGAGGAGAGAACGATGAATGCCGGAATCGAAGGGAATCCGGGCTGCCCTTATCACAATGATTTCAAGAGGTACCCCAACATCACTGAGCCTGATCAGGAAGGTATACTTTTGCCATCAACAATAACGAAGATTTCTCAATCGGAGAATGTTCGGACAAGAGCCTTCCGATCGGTTGAGGAGCGTGACGAATATATTCGTATGATGGTGAACAAATGCGAGGGACTATAAACATTCTACAAGCTGTGGATTGCAGCAAGAATCCTCGATGTCACCAAGGAAGAAATGAAGCTCCTGGTCAAGGACCGAGTGCACCCGGTGGGTGATATTTTTTTCAGATGTTTTGCACTAGCTTTCAACTGTAAGTATATATCATTCGTGAGGGATGGCCTGAACCTTGGCAAACATGGTTACACGGTCAACGTGAGCGCCATCATCTCGGCCGTCGACCCGAACAAATGCGACACACCCCTGCTGGATTGGTGCCTTAGGAAAGGGCACTGGTTGCCAGAGGACTACAACAAGAAGTGTGTCCGGGCACGAGAAGCCCAGAAGAACTTGGACGAGGAGTTCCGCCGACGTACCCATAGGCTGTCCATTGGGGACAGGTATGCTTCGTGAAGATACTGATTGCGGTACGATGTGGGTCAGTCCCCATCCGTTACTTGCGTCACATCGACACTGTTTCGGTGGAACGACTTATGTCATGATTTATATTCATGTGTCCAAGATGATTGGGTGTGTACATGGTTACATATTCCGATGACTATGTCGCTCTGGATATTCATGGATGGAACTATTACCTTATAGATGATATCTTTTCATTATTTATGCATTGTCCATGGTATCTGGAATGGCTACGATTTGCATTGATTACTCACCGATGTTTCTTTGCCGGAGATATGCAGACCGATCACAAGCGGGCGCGTCTGGTGGACTTTTGTGGCCAACCCATTTATGGATGACAGCTGCGCGATGCGCAAATGCGGCAGCTGGAATGTTCACTGGCGGTCAAGTGAAGTGGCCACAGTGTATTATATACACCTGCATATGGATGTGTGCTTCGATTGGAGGATGAATGTTTCACTTTTCGTACAATCGAACCCGGCATGTTTCACAGCGAATGAACGGTGTAGTGATAGCAAGTAAAAGAATGCACGACACGATTTCGTAGTTGAAGCCGTGGCCAGTGGAACGTTTTGTGGGGTTTGGACCGCATGATGAACAATGCGACCCAAATGGGGGATGTTAAAACCCTCTAGGCCCCGTGCCGAAATTGGGTAGCTGTTCTGAGGTCCTTGTTGGTGTTGCTTCCCAAGTTCCATTGATCGCCATTTGGCTCAAGACACAATTGAGGTTCAAGATCTGATGTGTGACTGCAGACCTACGTGATCGGCATTAAGAGCGAAAACAACTGCTTGCGCTGCATTTGTCAGGACCACTGTTGTAACTATCATTCCTTCTTCCTTACAACGTTTACACGGGTTCGGCTATAACGGCATCGTCCGTATACACCTTTCTAAGTGGTTGGTATTACAGCTTGAGGGTTCGGTGCATAGCGTCCCACGGGACGTCACCTTGCCGTCTCTTGGACATCTACATTTATCCAAATAGGCGTCAGGTTGCGACTGAAGGAAAGTAGTAACATGACTTGAGCGAATCAAATCAACCCTCTCATGCCAGTAGTTACCGCAGCTGCGTGACGAAGCCAGTGGGCGAGCGGTCCCCCGCCCCCTCCCCCTTTTTTTTCCCACCGGTGCCCCCCCCCCCCCCCCCCCTTTCCTCCACCCCCCCCCCCTTTCCCTCCCCCCCCCCCCCCCTTCCCTCCCCCCCCCCCCCCCCCCCTGGATGCCCATAGAGGGACTTTACCAATTGAGCACACACACAAGGCTTCTTGAGATGTCTGTATCTTGCCGCGACAAGTTCCGGGGGTAAGAGCACCCATACGTCAGTGGAGATTGCTTTCGATATACGCTTTATAGCGTTGGCTGTGCTACACTTGTGGGGCAGCAACTGACCGTAGCCGATCACGAAATTGAGCCCGGCGATTGAGGCTGGCACTAAACCAGCCAGGTCCTGAAAGACGGCGCTCAACCCGTTGTGATCTCCCCGCGGAACATTATCCGGGCCTTTAGCTTCCATTTGGGTGGGTCCCGCTCGAAGCCTTTCACCGGTACTATCATCATGAAATTGCTTTGGCTAGCCAGGTTATGCCGACCAGACATTCAAGTCGCGGTTAATGCCTTGGGTTCGCATGTAATATGTTGGGCAAGAGCTGATGACCGGCGATTGGCTAGATTCATCGGATACATTTCCGTGACAACCAACTACGCCATTCTGTCCTTCATGCATAATCAGGCATTGGAATTAAGACTATCCTGCTGTGCTGATGCAAGCGATTGCAATGAACCAGCCAAGAGCTGCTCAGGCTTCTTCATAGCCCTTGAGGCTGATCAGTCTTTCCTGCCGTTGGTTTGGGTTAGCAAGAAGCAAAGCGTTGCGAGCAAGTCTACCACGGAATCAGAAGCGGTTGCCCTTGCAACTTCTCTGAATGCATCCCTCTTCAGTCAGCATGGGAAACTGTTCTAGGGCGACCTTTAACGGTTACATGTTATGAGGACAACCAGGCTGTCTTGGCAATCATCAAAAAGGGGTATTCCAGTAAGCTCCGGCACTTGCCAAAGACACAAGATCAACGTTGCATCCGTGAGTGAATTGTTTCGTGACTCTCAGTTTCAGATTGAGTACATTGCCACTGATCACCAGAAGGGTGATATCCTGACGAAAGACCTCGGTCCGCAGAAATGGGGACCAGCCTTGGAGATCCACGTGCGTCGTCTTTGAGCTTGTGCTCGAATCCATCACTTGCTTTGTCTAGACTTCTGCCCATTTGCTTGTGTGGGTTTTAGCTGCTTCGGCGCTGCCCCGTACTTCTCATGTGCATTTGCATCTTAGGGTATATAGGAGTGATGCGCAGGTAGTCATTGCTGTTGAGCGAGTTCTAGTCGCGTCAGCGCTGCCTCGTCTCTCTTCGAACTTTGGCTCATAATTGATATGTGTGTTTTGCAACAACTGTGAAGCATAGGAACAAACGTGTCCTAACGCAAACTTTGGCTGCTTCTGCGCCTGTTCCTTGCATGCCTGTCTTGCCTTTCGCTTCGGCAGAGGTATGGATAATAAGTGATAGTATCTTGGGTTGATAGCTTCAGCTCCTCAAGGTGCGACCCTTGGACTTCATGACTTCAATGTTTTCGAGGCTTTCCACTTGGAAGGATTGTTGTCCAAGCCGTGTGGAGCAGCAGTGGTAGAATCACTGATGCACCTCATCATGAATTCATCATCTCATTAATTCGCATTAGGTAGTCATTGTCAGAAGGGGGTTTGCGCCACAGCCCTTCATGTAACTAATGCGGTTTCATAAATTCGTTGTTGAACAAGCCTGTCAAGGGACACGTCCCCACCAAACACTTTTGGGGACGTATCGTTTTGGCTTACGTTTTGGCTCGGACGTACAAGAATGCACCAAGAATAAACATGCTTGCGCATCTTGCAAGCCCAGACTACCGATCATCTGAGGGTTGCCCTCTGACACCGGAAAAGAACTTACTTGTATCTCTCTCTTTCTCTCTTTCTCTCTCTCTCTCTCTCTTTCTCTCTCTCTTCTTGACAAAGTCCATACTTACTCAGGTGACCTAGCGCCACTGGGTGCTTTGATGTATGATTGTCTCAACTCCGAATCCAACCTTGAAACCTTTTCGGAAGGCAAGGGACATGTTCTTTGCGCCAAAGCGCCGGGTGCAGGTTTCTGGTTCCTCCGGAGAACGGGGACCATCCGGAGTGGAGCTCTCACACTGCGTCTTTGGCAGCTCGGGCTGACGGCAAGGGTTGCGGTTGGGCAAACATGGCCGAATCTCGCTTAATTTGGGTACCCCTTATGGGGAACCGAGCGGAGGTTGAACAAAAGCAGCTTCAGTATGTTTGAACAACATGAAATCTGAGAGAGGGCAGGATGGTATGTTTGGCTTCGAGTGGCAAACACCTGCAGAGGTGACTTGTGCATTCAGCTTTGAGGTCCCAGGTGATGTACGCAACTGTATTTTGTTGGTGGCCCATTCCAGTACATGGCTGTTCTCTTGCAGATATGGCGATGTGTGACCTGTTGGAAGCTCATGCGCACCATGTTGGAATGTGGGCGGGGACAGTACTTGCCACAACGCCTCCCCTTGAAGCAGTCACAGTTTGACCCCTTCCTGCGAAACACAAAGAAAGTCAGCTTGAGGAGGTGGCAGGCAGACCTTTCGATGTTGGGGGTGGAGTGGTAATACAATTAAAAAAGCCGGCTGTAGGAGGTTTCGGGTTTAGGTACGCCTACCGCCAAACTACCCGATTCCACCTGTGTGGGCCTGTTTGCAGCCTCCATTTGGCTTCCCTCGCAGACCGTTAAAGATACATGACAAAATTCAAGATCTTTCCATTTTGACGCGTTCGTTCTTGGGCACAGTTGGTCCCTTTTGGCGCCTTTTGCTCAGATCTCCAACACTTTGAGCTTGCTGTACTTCACCTGCACCGCGGTATGGCTGCTCCTTACGGTGGTCATCAAGTTCCCCATCGCGCTGCACGAGGCGGAGGCGCGAGCCGCGAGGTGCTGTGCTGGGCGCTTGGGAGGTCAAAGCAGGAAGTCCTTCAGCAAATCTCCCGTTTGCAACATGTGGAAGTGGAAGAGGCTGAGTCCGATCTGGATATTGGCCACTCGACCTATGAGGATGTTGGCCGGGAGGCCGCGCCCCACACAGTCCACTCATTGATCAGGGCGTCGTTTTGGGCCAATGGTGCAGGTGTACCAAGCGGCGGTTGCAAGTAGACTGAGAAGGCAAGATTGGCTTCTTCCATGGGTCAGGTGCTTGGATTGGTAGGCACTTGCCACACCAAGTTAGATGCCAACTATTAGGTTGAAGCCCAAACTGTTGGCTTGCGCGCTCGTTGCATCATGCTCTTCTCGTGGGTGTCAAGTTGTAAGTTGGTGGCATTTAGTGCCTTTTGCGTTGAGGAGCAAGCTGATGCAGTGCTTGCCTCCCAACCAGCATCACATGCCTCGCATGCCTGGCCAGCATTGGCCGACTAGAAAAGCGGGCCCATTTGGCAAACTTGGCCACCTGATTTGCCAGCTTCAGGAGATGCGGAGCAAACCCCCACGGAACGCCTTGGCGAACTTGTTGATGAACGCCTACGCCTTGTCCAGGCCGCCTTGGCCCGATTTTTGGGCCGCGGGTCCCTGCGGATCCCCGTCAAAGGGAGCTGTGGAGAATGCAGGTTGCCTTTTGGGCTCTCGTTTGCTGGCAGAAAGTCTTTCTCGAAAGACTGACACCCGACTGTCCTGTGATGCAGTGAATCTGGAATATTTGCAACTGCCAAGATCACTCAATCTCGATGCCTATAGATATGGACATGTCTATAGCTCCCTGTACATATATGTATATATGTGAGTGTGTGTGTGTACGTAATGTAATGTAATGTAAAGTAATGTAAAGTAATGCAATGCAATGCAATGCAATGCAATGCAATGTAATATATATATATATGTGTCTGTATGCACGTGTATGGAGTGTGTGTGTGGGTGTGGGTGTGGGTGTGCGTGTGCGTGTGCGGTGCGTGCGTGCGCGCGCGCGCGTGCGCGTGCAAGCACGTGCGTGTGCGTGTGCGCGTGCGGGGGTAAGTGCGTCGCTCCTGAACGCTGGCAAAACCATCGCTTCAGAACGCTGAAACAAAATCGCTTCGGAACGCCGGAAAACGTACTAATCGCTTCGGAACGCTGGAAGTGCAGCCACGTGCCACGCGCAGCACCGAGACACCGGCGAGTGCTTCGCTCTTGAACGCTGGGACAAGAATCGGCACCCATGCGTCCACGCGCCCACCTGCCCACAGGCCCACGCACTGCTAGCTGACGGATTTTTCTGATAGCCTCGAAAAACCCAAAGACCTAAACCCTTTATTAACGTACTATAATATTAGCAGCACCTGCCACCGGAGTCTGGATCAAGTGATTTGGGTTTCGGTTGTAGCGCCCCACTTTTTCGTGAAGTTGTTTCAGGTTCATTTGATTACAGAGCTTCAGCGGGTGTGCTTATCATGCCCCCCCCCCCCACACCACCCCCCACCCCCAGAACCAGATGAATTTGCACATCTGGTTACAGAGCAGGCTGGGCTGGTTCACTTCAGCGGGTGTGCTTATCACCCCCCCCCCCAGAACAAATTGATTGGATTTTGCACACCCTTGCTGGTGAAGCAGTTCAGCGGGTGTGCTTATCATGCCCCCACCCCCCACCCCCAGAACCAGATGAATTTGCACATTTGGTTACAGAGCAGGCTGGGCTGGTTCACTTCAGCGGGTGTGCTTATCATCCCCACCCACCCACCCACCCAGAACAAATTGATTGGATTTTGCACACCCTTGCTGGTGAAGCAGTTCAGCGGGTGTGCTTATCATGCCCCCCCCCCCACCCCACCCCCCACCCCCAGAACCAGATGAATTTGCACGTTTGGGTATAGAGCTTCAGCGGGTGTGCTTATCACCCCCCCCCCCCCACCCCCCCAGAACCACTAGATTTTGCACACCTGGGCTGGGACGCCTGCCTGCGTACGGAAGTGATCCTGGGCTGGGACGCCTGCGTTCGGAAGTGATCTTTTTGACTGACCGGGTTTTGCAACCCTTTCGGCGTTCCGGGTGCTCAGTGTTTTGAAGTGATTTTTTTTAGTGTTCAGAAGTGATCGAAAGTGGCAGCGTTCACAAGTGATTTTTTTTAGCGTTCTGAAGTGATTGTCTACCCGTGCGGGTATGCGTGCGTGCATGCGCGCGTGTGCGCGTGGACGCGCGCGCGTACGCGCGTGCGCGCGTGCGCGCGCGCGTCACTGTGTGTGTGTGTGTGTGCGCGTGTGTGTGCGTGTGTGTATGCATGTGTGTGAGTGTTGAGCGAGTGAGCAAGTGAGTGCGTGCGTGCGTGCGTGTGTGTGTGTGTGTGGGTGCGTGCGTGCGTGCGTGCGTGCGTGCGTGCGTGCGTGCGTGCGTGCGTGCGTGCGTGCTGCGTGCGTGCGTGCGTGCGTGCGTGCGTTGCGTGCGTGCGTGCGTGTGGTGCGTGCGTGTGGTTGTGTGTGTGTGTGTGTGTGTGTGTGTGTGTGGTGTGTGTGTGTGTGTGTGTGTGTGTGTGTGTGTGTGTGGTGTGGTGGGCGTGCGTGTGCGTGTGCGCGTGCGCGTGCGCGTGCGCGTGCGCGTGCGCCGCGTGCGCGTGCGCGTGCGCGCGCGTGCGCGCGCGCGCGTGCGTGTGCGTGTGGGTGTGGGTGTGGGGGTGGGTGCGTGCGTGTGCGTGTGCGTGTTCGTGTGCGTGTGCGTGTGCGTGTGCGTGTGCGTGTGCGTGTGCGTGTGCGTGAGCGTGTGCGTGTGCGTGTGCGTGTGCGTGTGCGTGTGCGTGTGCGTGTGCGTGCGGGGGTGCGGGGGTGCGGGGGTGCGTGCGGGGGTGCGGGTGCAGGTGTGCGTGTGCGTGTGCGTGCGTGCGCGTGTGTGTGTGCGCGTGTTCCCAGGTGTGTGTGTGTGTGCGCGCGTGTGTGTATATACGTAAGGAGTTATAATGAGGCAGAAACTTCTAAAACGGTATCGCCGCCGCTTGAATTCCGTGCCTGCTTTGCTCGCTAGACTCACGCCCCTTCGCAGGTCAAGTCGGCGTTTGACTTCATGTGCAAATTGACAGTCGCGGGTCTCTATGACTCTAAAGATGGGGGTCACTAGCCTTATTTAGGGAAATGCCCTCAGTATTCAAAGGTCATGGAGACCCCAGGATTACGTCCAAAATAAGTGCACCGCAGGCATCAAGTCGCATTCCCGCGAAATTCGTGCTGAGGCTGATGCGGGATGGCCAGGTGGCCTGGCGCGCGCTACTGCTGACCTGCTGCTTTTGCGCCTTTGTCTTCGGGCGCCTTGGCAAGCGACGCAGCAATAAGATTGGGGGGGCTGGCTTGGTTTCAAAGGGAAACCAGCAGGACCCATTGATACACAAATGTGCGCTGGAGCTTTCGTGGCAAATAAGTGCGCCAGCACTGGCAAATACAAACACATGCAAACACACGGATTGCGGGGAAGAGCTTTGGCTTTGCACACTTTTTGGACATGCGCCCGAGTTGCGAAAAATCGCGCCCGAGTTGCGAAAAATCGCGCCCGAGTTGCGAAAAATCGCGCCCGAGTAGCGGGAAATTGCGCTCGAGTTGCGGGCTCGTTTTCTCTCGAGCACTTGACCAAAGCAGCTAGGCAACCTCAAAACATGCTTGGATTGGATTGGGGTATGACATTGAGGATGCCACTGGAAAATTGACCCGGGAGCTTGGCGGATCAAAAGCTGCATTATTCTCATCCACAAGGAAGCGGAGGCACCTCGCATTCCTTTCAGTCAACTCCAGCTTGCTTTTTGCCAGGATGGTTCCCTTTCTCCCTGTCCTTCTCCATCCTTCCCTTGCCCCCTTTTTTTTTTAGAATCCCAGGGAGGTTTTTCATGGGAGTCAGGCACTACTGGCTGAACAGCTTCATCCTGATGGACTTCTGGTGCCAGTCCCCGGTCCTGGCCACGGTCTTCCGCGCCATCTGCTCCCCGCTGAAGTCGCTGGCCATGACCTTCCTGGGGCCCCTCGGCTCGGAGGGACGGGTTTGTTTTTGACGCGGGCCGGGCCGCTTTTGTATTTTTCCGGGTGGCCGGTGCTTTGTGGTTCTTTCTTGTGGTTGTTTTTTTTTTTTGTGTTTGGGGGGGGGGTGTTGTGCAGGTGGCTTTCTGTTGTTTTTGTTGGGTGGTCCCCTACCAACCAGGCAACCATTCAAAGGGCAGTTGTTTGAAAGTTGGCCTGTCCTGGAAGCAGTGCCAAGTCAGCCGGAAAGCACCCCGGGCGTTCCTTTGGTTCGAATGGGAGGCCTCTTGGGCTGCAGGTTCGGTTCAACCACTGCATCCCTTGAGACGTGGAAAAGCGTCCTTCAACAAACCCAAGAAATGGATTAGGGTCATGGCACATGTTCCCATGCAAGCAGCATGCGCCAGGTTGCTGATCATCACCTTTGTGTATGCCGCCATTGGTTTCCGCAGCCCGGCCGCAGCGCTATAGCGCTCAGGTTGGGAGATGCAGAGTTACCGCATGTTCTAAGTCGAGCTCACTGGGGGTAACCTGAGCTCATCGGTCCTTCGCCTGAGGATCCCTTGCTGCAGGTTTCGGAAAAATTCCGGCAGAATTTGCAGAAATTTCGGCAGGCTTGTCCTAGTTGGTTTGTGGGCCCGTACTTCTTCAGGCTGCTTTGAGCAGATGTACTCTGCTTGGAGATGGGGTCTCCGCTTCAGTGATTTTGTGGGACATCTGAAAAGATAACCTTAGGCAGAAGGCAAAGGCCCATTCAGTTTTGTTTTTCATTTTCCAAGTTTCAAGGTTCCAATAGTTGACCTTTTGTGCCAATTCTGTCAGTTCCAGCACAAATTGACCAACTGGGCCTTATTTGGGCAACCATTTGGTTTGCCACATGCGATTGGCTGTTGGCTGGTCTTGGCACATAATTTTTTCGAAGGTGAACCCTGGCCAGCAACAAATCCAACTGAGAACGGCGAAGCCGTAGCTCAGGCTACTTCCGGGAGGACTTCCACCACTTCTGCAACGAAAATATCCTGACTTGTACTGAGCTACTCGGTTTTGCAAGCATCCGGCGACTCCCAGGCCAACCTTGAACTTAACAGACCATGGGAAGGCTGTAGTTACTCCATGGCTTTTTTTGCGTCGCGCAGGATTGGGCCCACAAGGAAATTGCTCCATGCTGGATTGTACACATGTTGTATGTCATGTTTGTACTTCGGACAAGTTTTTGCACTTTGAGAACTTGAAAGCAATTAGACATTTCAGAACATTTGCGTGTGCATACGCAATAATGTAAGGCCTTCTAATATATCCTTTCGGACACACTTTCCTTCAGCGCTGTGACAGGCTGGCAGCTTCGTGGCAAGGATTCAAAAGGGGGTGGTCAATGATTGGATGAGTGGCCTGTTGCAGCGGCCGCTGTAGTACTGACAGGCGCAACTTTTTTCAGGCTGTGTGTGACAAATTTGTGTGACCTAGTAGCGAAGGCGCATGCTTGGACCTCCAGCGGTTAGAAGTCACAAGCATCCAGAGCTGGAGCGCGCAATTGCATCGGGAGTTTCATGAGAGACTTGGCTGGGCCATTTCCACGGAGAAACGACTGAAATGCTCTCTCGCCCTGCTCAGGTCTTTGTTTTGAGACATGCCCCACGTGTGGTGCGTCCTTGTTCAGCGGACCCTACCCCCCCAAAATGGTGGTCTTCCTGTTGATTTCCCTTTGACATTATCCAAAGTTGTGGTTTCCCTTTAAAACCCAGGGTTATTACATCCCAAAGAGGCTGAGCCGATTTCCCAGGAACATCCTCTACCAGGGAACTCGGGGCGGCATTGTGGGTCTAAGCCTCATGATGAGCAGCACGCATCCTGGCCGGCCCGACTGGACGGAGCGCATGCTCTATGCCAGGGCCTCAGAGGGCCTTTCTTTTCCCATTGGGAATGCGGCCCTTACTGCACGGTAGACGCGGTTGGGCACTGGGATCAAGTACGTGATACCTGCAAATGTTGCTTTCATTCACCAATTCATCAACTCATCATAGGTGGCTGGGCAGATACTGTATAGATGTGAATCTGAAAATTGACTGATTACCAGTCACCCGTAACCGACATCCCCGTGGATCCCAGCCTAAAAATCCAATGTTTGTTTGGCGCAACCTGAAAAAGTTCTCTTTACCAAGGTCACTGGCCAACTGGGCAACAGTAATTAGAGCCCCGGCGGGTTCTGTGGCTGTCGGGCCCTCCATGGGCTTTTTGCTGCTTTGAGAGTGCCCACTTCCATTCCGCTTGCCAGACGCTTAGCCCTTTTGAAGAATTGGAACAGGTCTTCGTTTTGATGATGGGGCATTTCAGCGTGTGAAGCATTTGTCAAGCTTGGTGGGAACCAATGTGAGTAGTACAAGTTAGTGTTGTGGCTGAAGACATGTCTCACGCTATTTGTGGCGGGTATCCGTTGCAATTTGGCGCATAATTATACGCTGTTGCTTAGCAAGGCGCAATGCCAGTCTCTTGCCATGCAGGCAAACAAAAGCACAAAACAAAAACAGCCATGAGGTGACTCGCATGCACATGCGCAAGTGCGTGACACACGGCAAGATGCCATGTTTGTTTGTTTGTTAAATGTATTTTGGGTTTGGGAGGCGTGAATCAGAAACATATGTTGCGTCCACCTCTCCCCCAACTCGCGGCAACGGTCGCAATGGTCGCAGGACATGAGTTACTTCATCATATTCGGTGTCATCGTGCTCAACACGATCGTGCCTTGCAGAAATCAGGCTCTTGTATGACTTGCATGTATCCCGCGATGAATGTGAATTCAGTTGTCCCTATTTCTCATACTTCCTTCAGCCTTGGTTGGCACACTATGCTTGTAGCAAGTCCGCAATTTGCTTCGTCTGCATGCGGGGATTGTGGACAGGCACGCAGCGGGTTTTTTGTCGTGCAAGCAAAATCAGTCAGAAAGCCAGTTGCAGTCCCTCACATATATTAAATAGTATATGTATATATATACACCTACAGATGTTCGGTTGCATTGGACGTCTAGCATTGAATTGAGCTGAGAGACCATCCTATGCTGGTAGACCACCATTCCAAGGAAAGCATCACGTCAACCAGCATAGGGGCCTGGGTCGAAATCAACGCCTCAGCTCCTAGCAACAAACTTATGTCGAAACGCCGGCCTCACCACCAACACAGTCTTTTGCGCAGGACCTTTGATTGAAAATAACGTCCTGACCGAGATCTGCTTTGTTGGAGGTGATGTTGTTTGACTTGGAATGCGTGCTTGGCGGAGGATGTTATTAGCGTTCTTTGGTTGGATGACTTTAGTCCGGGCTTTCCTAAGATCAACCGATTCAGCGTGCAAGGGTTTGGCACCCTCTGCGCAGCCAACTGAGAGGGCTCCAGAGAGGATGGCAGAGGTGGGTCTCATCGTCGACTCCTTCGGCGCGCTTCGGCTGGACATGGAAGCCCGGGAAAACGATCAGCAGACGCAGACCTTCGTGTCCTGCAGCTTGGATGAAATCGGGGAGCGGTGTTTGGACACGCCATCCGGTCTGTATGGATCCCAGAGGGCCCACTTGAAGAGAGAAGTTCTCAGGATCCCAAGACGCCCAGTCACTTTTTTGTTAGAACAAACCCTGTGGGAGAGGGAATCCCGTTGATTCCTGCAGAGAAGGAACTATCAATCTGATTACTGAGGTTAGCTCGTGGCAGGGTTTACACACCAACTATGTGTCACCCCCGGACTTGTGATATCATATTTTCATCCATGGCTCGGGTAAATCAACCAGGGTTGTGGCCTTAACACCCTCCATGCAGCCTTCCCCCAAAACGAAGCCCCAGCACCGAGCCTGCCACTCCTTAAACCTTCGATGAAACTGTAAACCCAGCCTCAACCAGTTTCAAGCTTGGCACAGAGCTCAACCGGCTTCAAACAAACCCCAAAAATCGGGCAACAACGGTCTTGCCCGCCTTGAGCCAGCCTGAGCCAATTACATTGAACAAGTTTCATGCCGTTCCGAAAACGGAAGCCTACCCGACATCAACCCTTATTGGTTTCTAAACCTCAAGTAGGCCCTTGAAGCGACCCCAAAGAGAGGCTCATAAATTAGAGAGAGGGCATTTCCGGCAGCAAGTCCAACAACCGCCCTGCAGTTTTTATCCATCCCCACTGGTGCAGGATGGTCTCCATCTACACGCAGAAAAATATTAGTTTGGTAGATCAATTCCTGCAGAATGGCGTAGTTCACCGGCGACAGAGGCTTTCAGACTTGCCATGGGGTCATACATGCAGCCTTGTTGAATGAGTGTTGTCGGTTTTCATTGTGGGAGCATTCTGTATTAGCATCAGGTCAGCTTTTACCAAATCGACCCCGAAAACAAGCACCCGACCAAGCTGCCAAATCACAAAACGACAAGCTGACGTGGCATTGCTCAGCCCACGTAGACCCCGCCCATTGCATGCTTGCTCCAAGTTTGATATGTCGATTCTCCCTTGGGATGGGGGATTTGTGGCTCTTCCGGGGTCCAGTTCGCTGGTGGCTTCCTGTGGCGGGGTTTCAAAAATTTCTCTACCAAGAATCTATGGGCAGCTGGGTGCGAGCACTTTTGCTCCAATCACGGCGCCGTGGCCCGCGCCCAACTTGCCCCCCCGAAACCGCAGGCATTGACCGAAGGAGCGTGGAGCAGGTCGCGCAGTCCGCGGGGATTTCAGACGGCTTCGAGTATCACGAGACATACCGGCAGAACAAGTGGGCGCTTTCGGCGGCACATGGAGTGCGGTAAGGGCACCCAAAAAACATCCAGCTTGGAATTCTCTTTAGGGTGCGTTGGTGAGCCGTTTCACGGCCTCCCAAATGTTTCGTTCTGTCACAGGAAGGTCTACTACGAATGGGTGAGCAGGGGGGGTTCTATCTCCAGCACGCCTTTTACGCGCTTTGCTCCCCAAGGACTACATGGCATTCCTTTTCCATTTGTGTGAGACGGACTTGGAGGAGCGGACAGCACGGGGGGCACTCTGGGATGGAAACCAGACACGTCGGACATGACCATTCCAAGCTGTTTTTGACATGTTACGGCTGATCGAAGATCAGCTGGATTTCAAGGACATGATTTGGGTACCGCTTTCTGTGCACTGTGCACAGAACGTTCTCAAGTGTGTTGAGCGTTCTCTTGCAGCAGCGGGACACAGGCAAGAGTTCGCTTCGAAGCAAAGGCCGTGGAAGAATTGTTTTATCATTGCGTTCTTGGTAGGCATGCGCGACGTTTCGTTTGCCTCCTCATGAGCTCAGATGATCAGCTGGAAAGGACTTAAGCACAAGGAATTGCAATCAGAAATATGGCCTTAGCAGCTTGTCACCATCAGCACCACCAGCACCAGCACCAGCACCCCACCGTCATCATCATGATCATCGTCGTTGCAATCATCCATGCTCCATCCTCCATCCTCCATTCTGATCCTTATCCTTATCCTCCTCATCCTTCCCCTCATCATCACCATCATCACCATCATCATAAGCAGCAACATTAGCAGCATCAGGATTCGAATGATTAGCAGCATCATGATCATTGTCATCATCGTCGCCGTCGTCCGCAGCCAGTGGTCATGATCAAGCTTCAGGATTCTGGACTGACGCTCATCAGAATCGCTATGGTCATCAGTACCACTGTCATCACAGCAGTCATCATCGGCACATCAGCAGCAACAACCATGAACCTCATCATGATCATGTAGCCGATCGTTCATGACTCAGAACCACGACCACCACCACCACCACAACCACCACCACCACCACCACCACCACCACCACCAAAACCACCACCACCACCACCACCACCACCACCACCACCACCACCACCACCACCACCACCACCACCACCACCACCACCACCACCACCGTGTCATCGCCATCGCCATTGCCATTGCCATCCTCCTCTTCTTCTTCATCATCGTCATCATCATCATCATGATCAACGTCACGGCGTCATGTTTGTTCTCATCGTCACATCGTCGGCATCGGGGCATCTTCGTCATTGTCATCATCGTCATCCCGTTGTGGCAGCAGCAACGCTAGCAATTTCAACACGAAGGTGAGTCACGGTGACCACGTCCATCATGCTCGTCATCGTGAGCATACAAGGCATGTTCTAAGAAAGGTCATCATGTCCTCCCCGCCGCCATCCTGAACAGGAGCTCACCGGCCCAGAGCATCACATTCGGGCCCTGATGGACAGGGGAGATGCACCCTGGCATCCGGGCGGCGTGGAGGGCAGGTTTCCCGCGAAGCGCGTGACTAGCACATACAAGCACTCTCAGCTGCTTCTTGTTTGTGGGGCCGCTCTTGCGCCTGCAAATCGAGCATGTCAGCCATAAACAAATCGCAAACTTGCGGGCGGATTTAAGGATGCGACCCCCTGATCATGTACGGTGTTCAACAGATGTTTGCCTTGGAGGAACCCACAATTCAGCAGCCGCAGGGGCGGGGAAACGGCGCTTTGCCGGGTTTGCACTTCGGGCTTGCCGTAAGGCGTTCATTCCCAGAGAGGGCGGTTTTCGCGCGCATGTGTGTGTGTGTGGGCATGCATTTTATCAGGAAATTCCTTATGAAGCCTAAATGTGCCCCCTACTCCAAATACCCACTTTTTCTAGGGTATTTTTTGGAAACCCTGGTTTTCCATGGTAAATACCTCCTTTTTTAGTAGAGGGTCGACATGATACCCTAAAAAAAGTGGGTATTTGGAGTAGGGGGTGTTTCTTGTGAGAATTGACTATATATACAATCTGCTCAGTGTCAGGCTTGGAGCATTTTCTTGGGCATCATGTGTGCGCAGATGTTCCAAGGGGAACCCTGCAATCCTTCGCTTCCTCAAGGGAAAATCACCATTTATCCAAATTGACTGGCGCGGCAACACCCCCGGCGGGATTTGCATGGGGGAACGGGCGAGCCTCCAGCGGTTGCCAGTCAAGTCTTTCATTGAAGGATCGTTTCTATTTGATGAGCCGGGACGCGTTTTTGTTCTGTTTCCCCTCTGGGAAGACATACTCTTGGGATGGGCTGAGGCGAAGTGGTTGCCCATTGGCCGTTCCAAGTTCCTGGAGGGCGCCGGCATGGGCATGAACCCGCTGGAGCGGGGTTTTCCAACTCGGCTGAGAAGTTGAGAAGTTGAGATGTTGTACGGTCAAGTTGATGGGCGAAAAGGCGGCAACAAAACCACCGCAAGATGGTACACAGCAGGAGGCCCTTCGAACGGCCCAGTTCAACCAGGCGTTTGGACGGGAAGGTGTGCGTGCTTGCGTCCAGGACAGGTTCATGCGGATCCAAGAGCAGACCAAGTACCTGGGAAGTTTCGCATTTCGGCTCGAAGGGCGTGAGGGGGAGGGAAGTGGGTTTAGTCCACCAGAACCAGGCACACACTCGGCTCTACAATCAAGGTGGAGCATGAATCAGCTGTAAACGAACCGAACAGGAGCATGTTCAAGGCGCGCGTGAGGCTCTCGTTGTTTTGAGGCTGGCTCTCCAAAACCTATGATTTGAATGCCAAGTTTGGGTTTTTTGACAGAGAAGGTCCTGCGACCACCCTTCTGTGACGCAGAGTGCAATGTCATGGATTGGGTTCGCTTAATTTCCTTTGGCTGGAGGAATCTCGGCAGATTCGGGCCTCGCTGGGAACGGCCGCACCCAAGGATTGCGCCAAACCGAACAAACAAAAGCACACTGGTGCCTTGGACATGTCTCGTGGCCGGTGTGCAGCACAGCACCAAACCGCGAAGGAACAGTTTTGGCTGGCCTATGCATGCCTTTGCATGCCTTTGGTCTTGCTTGGGGTTATCTTTAGGATGTGGTCCTCTACCTTGGGAGTGTGGAACATCAGGTTGATCGACTTAGACCAACGCCCCGAGCTGGCACAAGCCTAGCTGAGTCCGAGCAGAAGCCATCTACCACGTTTGGGCATAAGGGTCTCCTTGAAATGGGTCCCCAGCTGACGCGGAAGCTTCCCACTTTTTGTTTTTCGGGGGGGGTATCGACCACGAAGAAAGGAGCGCCCCTTCTTCCCATGGCCACTGGGGGTCTGGGCCTTTGAGGATGCGGCTGGAAGATGTTGTCATGCTATTCAGCTTTGAGTCTATTCCAGTTCTGCTACCTCGTTGCCGAAAACAACCCGGAGATGATTGAAGCGATTGTTTACCCGCAGTGTTGAAGCTTAATGCCGTTCCTTTCAATTAGGCCAAGGGAGCCACGGGTGGTTGGCTGTCGCGCAGAGGTGGAGTCGAACCAAGACAGCTGGAAGAGCATTTCGCGATCTATGTCTCAGTTGGACTCGGCCATCCGGGACTGGCACGTCTTTTTGCTGCCTTCGGGAGACATTGGTCCGAACTTGGGCAAATCGATTCGTGGAGTGATATTTGGGTCACGGGTGGTTGACAAGTGGCTGCAAATGGCTGGTATTTGATCCTCATATTCCTCCTCAAAGGGGATTCCTCGTCCTTCTCAACATACGTAGTCAGAATCCCGTTCAAGCTGCATGGTACCATCGCGCTCTGCACTTCACCAATATTGCACTGTAGATTACCGCCCGTGCACCTTCCCATATCGACCCTTCAAACATCCCAGGCAACTTGAAGTAGGTTCCCTAAAAAGAAGACCGTAGCCATGAAAACTTGCGTTTTGGGTCACTTGTGACAAGGACATCGCCCTGCAAAATCCACCAGGGAGAAATCCCCCAAAGTCCTAAGTTAGTGGGGATGGGAACTTCTAGCTCTTCGGTGGATTGGGCTCCCCTTTGCCCTTCGCAGTTGGGATAGCTGAGATGGTCACGATGGACGAAACCCTACTGAGAACCGACCAGCCGGAGTTTGGATTCTGCACGTTCACGGTACTCGGAGGGTCCAACTACCGACCCTTTGGGGTAATTATGAATCAGCTGGATTTCGGATAGTACCTTTATGAGGTCTGAGCCATTTTGCCTAAGACCCTCTGGGGTAATCCGCATTTCGGATGTCAGTGGAAGCGGAGTTCGCCAGGACAAGCTGGACGGCATGCTCACAGAGCTGAGGGACTTGCAGCTGGAGCTCAAGCAGCAGCGCATGCTCAAGGATTGAAACGGGTCGACCTGAAGATTGGTTTGTGTCTGGGGTCTTCCCCAAAGCTATTTTCTGATTTAGGGCGGACGAAAAAATGCGGCTTTTGCGGCTTTGGCTTTCGCATCCGCTGCATTTTCCTCTCCGGCAGGTGGCTTTTTGGCTTTATCGCTTTTGGTGGCTTTCTGGCTTTGGCTTCTCGCATCCTCTGCTTTCCCAGTTGGTTTTTGGCCTTTTCGATCATCATGGGGCTGCCGCCCCCCCCCCTCCCCCCCCGCTACTTTTTAGATTTGTTGCCCCTAAAATTGAATCATCACTTTTTCGATCATCTATGTATGTCTGTATGTATGCACTTAATCGATTATGATAGGGGAAGCCACCCCAGCCAACGCTCCCGCCACTTTTTGTATTCTATCGCACCCTTTCTTCAATCATTGCACCCCTATTTGAATCATCACTTCTTCGAACATCATGGGGGGGCTGCCGCCCCCCCCAACCCCCCCGCTATTGAATCATAATTTTTCGATCATCATGGCTGCTGCCCCCGCTACGTTTTAGATTTGTTGCCCCTAATTGAATCATCACTTGTTCGATCATCATGGGGGCGGCTGCCGCTACTTTTTAGATTTGTTGCCCCTAATTGAATCATCACTTGTTCGATCATCATGGGGCTGCCGCCCCCCCCCCCTCCAGCATCCTTACCAGCCAAGACGGAACATGAAAACAAAAAAAAACAATGAAACAAAAATATCAACCCATCGCCCTGTAATTAATTCTCAAAAATGGGGAACAACCAAAAAGGTTGGGGGTAACTTTTTTTTTGTGGTTTTCTATCTCCTTGTATTGTTGTTTTTTTGCTTTTCTTGCCTGCACCCCCTTTTTTTCACGCTCCCACTTCTAGTTTTTTGTTCCTATTGGGTGGTTTTTTTTGTTATTCATATTTTTATTATTTACGCTTACGTTTCCTTT